ATTATTCAGTTTTGTATTACATTGGAAAATCACCCAATCAAATTTCAACACTACTATACGTACTATACGCACTATACTAGTAAAGTATCGTATAGTGTCGTATAGTGTTCAACTATACGCTATTTGCCCATCTCTAGAATCAGATAATTAATTAGGCTGTTCTTCTCAATAATTTTGCAATGAAGGTATTCCTTTGTTTAGTTGATTATCAGTGATCGACAAAGACATTTCACGCAACATCATTAACTTCACACTACCAATTAATTATACATGCAATTATTTTTGTTATAAAATCTTTAAAGCAAAGAAAATTACAGTAAAACCGTCACTAGTTTTCTTTTTATGTATCTCCAAACAAAATCAAAAACATACCATGGCATCAGCTCTTGTTGAGGAAACAAAGAATTCAAACTCGTTATAAGGTTTCCGGTCGAAACTAACTTTCTTGGTAGCTGAAATTGCCGAGGACTTTGTAATTTTTATATAACCAAACTATTTTTTATTAATAGCCGAAATTGGGTGAAATTATTTTTAAATTATTTAATTTTTCATGTTCATTCTTATAAAAAATATTGGGAAAACCCAAACTGTTGCCAAAACTACTTTTTTTTCAAAAATAGTTTGACCGGAAACTTTAGTTTGTTACTTTATTAGAGGAATGTTAATATTTTCTTCTATTCATATTTGATACTAGAGAAAGTTGAAAAGAATGAAAGGAAGGAAATTAAAAATCCAACACTTTTTATAATTAGAGATTGGCACATGATATCATGTAGCTTAAATCAGAGTTAAATTATTATTACTTACTTACTTGGGACGTGCTGCAACAAAACCAAATATTATGTCACAGTGTGATCAAATTTTGGTTATTTTTTATTTTTAAAAAATAAAACTACAAATAAGTCGTACCTCCATATGAGAAACCCTGTCGGGAACATAATGAATTTTTCTAAAAAAAGTTCTTACAAAGAGGTGTTTATATGATGTTCTTATATAGAGGGTTCTTATACGGAGGTATGACTGTACTTAACAAAATGCATACCTTCACAAATAAAGTTTTCTTGTTTGTCAATTGGACTATTCTTCGGTCTTTTGCTATATCACCAAACCTATAAAAACCAGCTCTACAAAAATTAATGAAACAATAGAGCCTAAAAAGAACAAGCCAGTTGATAAAAAAATTTTTTTTGCTTACAAGAAATTGTCATTTATGGAAAGATTTCAAATAATTGTTTGATAAAAAGGCCAAGTTTTCATTCTACAAAGTGGTTATTTTATTGAAGGAAAAAGAGCTGCGGTCTCTATCAACGAAAAAACGAACCCTAAAAGGAAAGAAAAAATAAAAAATGGCGAAGGATGGTATGTATGGATGAAGAAGAAAAGAATATTAACCATTATATATATATATATATATATATATAAATATACAAAAAAAGGATAAAAATGAAGAAAAAATTTTCACATGACAAAAAATGATTGGGTATCTTGTTTGAATGATAACAAACGCTTGTATATATGTTTATTACATGGCGTTTGCAAGAGGATAATGATCCAAAGCACCATCATGCGTTACAAAAAACCTTCATTTCTGAAAAAAGAATTTGTATAATAGGCTGGACATCCAACAGTCCTACATGACCTTAATCCCATTGAAAATATGTGGCCAAGAATATCGAAGAGATTTATAGTCGAAGAATTCCTCATAAATACTACTTTTTTTAAAACTCTTGTCCGTTTTTTTGATAGTTTGTAATTACATAGCAACTCAACAAAGAGTAAAAAGCGGAAATTAATTATTAAAAAAGTAGTATTATCTATGTCAGAAATGTGAGAATATTTAATAAGCTTTCAAATAAATCCAGCTTTGTTTATCTAAACTTGCATAATTGTTGAGAGATGTGATTTTTTGTGCGCGCCTTTTTGAACACACTATATGATAAGTTTATGTACACAAAAATACGTTAAATACGAAATTGCAAATATTAATAAATACTAAATTGTCCAGAAAGTGTGTGCAAAATTTGACGGGCATGAAAATGTTGATATTTATAAAAATAATTTACGAAGGAATTTTGATTGATAGTATATGATTTATACAGTAATTGTTATTATGTTATTATTAAGAGGAAAAATAAATGAAAAATGAATTATTTCAGAAAGAAAAAACATTGCTTATTTTGTATCTTCAATGTCTTTATTATTAATATTTCTGTATTTATTATTTATAATAATTTTAAAAATTTGTGCGCTCAGAATTTCTTAATTGAGCTATTCTAACATATAATAAATTTGTAGTTAAAATAGCTTTGATGCATGTAACCTTCCATTTATCGATTTTTTTTTTGTAATTAAATTTCTTATTGAAATCTTTAAATTAATTTTTATTGTATATAAAGCATTTACAGAGTGAAAAATAAATGTACGTCTCTTCTAAGTTTAATTAAAATTAGCACTTATCAATATTATATTTACAATATTCACATTTCATCTTCGTTCCTCAAATAATATGAATACGTCAAAATACATTTTATTATAATTAAAAGTTTTAAAATTTTTATTTATTAATTAATCAAGAGTTAAATTCAAAGCTGATGATTGCGTAGTTACCCATTAATTAGGCTTAATTAATTTCAGATTAAACTTGCGATTAATTAATTGTGGTGGTGTTAATATTTACTTTTTTTTTTTGTTTTTAGTTATAAAAAAAAAAAGGTGATATGACGGATATAAATTAAATTGAAATGAATGGATGAAAACAGTCAAAATTGTATACACATGTAAACTTGATAGTCTGACGCAGCAATCAATTGTTTAAAGTACTCGATAATATAAATAAATAAATGACCAGTTTACATATTAATATGTCGATCATTTAAAATTATCTATATACCTATTAATTTAATAAGCCGATTTGATTAAACCGAGATGAATTCACGGGACCATTTTGTCAGAGGTTACATCTAAGGTCCCCTTTCGCTTTTTCCGTTTAAGGAAAAGAAATGGTTAGAATCATAAGGCTTCTTTGTGTTGGGAATCCAATTTCCATTAATATATATCATCTTAGAGAAAATAAAAGTATTTAAATCGACGACGAAATCCTTTTTCTTTTTTTACAAATCAAAATGGAGAGTTATAAATATGCCGTTGATGCCTGTATTCGATGTAGTATTAAGCAAATCAAATGCGACAATAAAGAGGTCTGTGAACATTGCAAGGGGACAAAAAATGATTGTCATCGAAACAAAACCGTAAAAAAAGAAGTCAAAAGATATCAAAGACTGAATAGATCATACAAACGCTTTCGTAAACAATGTAAACATAATATTCAATATTTGCATATTTAATTACTAAATTTTTTTTAAAAAAAATTAATTTGTTGTTTTTGATTTCTCAAGTTGAAACACTTCATAAACAAATTTTACAAACCAAAACTACTGACGAGCAGGAAATGTTAAATCGATTATTAAATCTTAGCAATCAAGGTAAACAAAATCTTCAATTTTAAATATTTGCACATTTAATTTAATTTGCAAAAAAAAAAAAAAAATCAATTCTTTTAATTTTTGTTTTTTGATTTCACAAGTCGAAGCGCTTCATCATCAAATTTTACAAACCAAAACTATTATTGATGAACAAAGGATTTCAAATCCATTATTGAATTATTATTTTAACAAATTTAATTTTGGTAATAATAACAAAGGTAATAAAGTCTTTAATATTTGCATATTTACTAAAATTTTTCAGAAAAAATTAATTCATTTTAATTTGTTGTTTTTGATTTCACAAGTTAAAGCACTTCATCAACAAATTTTACAAAATATAACTAATATTAATGAGCGAAGAATGTCGAATCTATCATCCAATTATTATTTTAACAATAATAATCAAGGTAAACAAACAAAGTATTCAATATTTGCACATTTACGTTAAATTTTTTTAAAAAAATTAATTCCTTTTAATTAAAGCACTCCATCAACAAAAGTTACAAATCAAAACTACCAAAAGTGAGCAAGAAATGTCAAATCTATTATTAAACGATTTTAGTCATAATAATAATAATTCCAATATCAACAACACCGATTTATGAATTAAGAATAATATTTTTAGCTTAAAAAGCTTTATGAAGATAAAACATTAACATGTTTTGTGTAATTATAGTAAATAATATTGTATATTTCATGTAATATTTATTAAAAATAGTGATTGACGTTGAAAAAAAACAAATAAAAAATAAAATTAGAAATAATAATAAAATCAAATTTCGGTTGTCCTCCCTCGTCAAATGACATGAACAGTCTTAAACTTTTTGTCTCACTATTGTGACAAAGTTTGACATTAGACTCTTTGTCTTCGAATTACTAAATTTGGAACGATTTTCTTTATCAATTTCTCCACATTTATAAATAATTGCCATTTTTATTTTTATTTTTATTTTTATTTTTATTTTTATTTTTATTTTTATTTTTATTTTTATTTTTGCTATTTTTTCTGAATTTTAATAACATACAACTCGCGTAAAGCAATACCATATGCAAGTTTAGACATTTAATGTGAAGTCGAAAAATAATCTTAGCCTTTGAAGTAAAAACGTAGCATTGTTTTGAATGGCTGTATCTCTGAATAGAGGGTTTCTTTCAACATAAAAAAAAAAAAGATTCGTTAGAAAAATTTAGTAGTGTAGTTTTTACTTTACTTTAATAACAAAGTTCAAGTTTATTATGAAAATAAATTTTTATGACGTCGGTCTACGTAAGTTTTTTTATTATTCGGAGATTAAATGAACACAGTACAATGTTACACAGTTGACGAAAATATCCTGTGGCTAAATATGCAGGACCTTTCTAATTTTGGAGTGGCACCTATGATCTGCATGATTTTTATATATACAGTGTGGGACAAAAAAAACCGGAATTATAAAATTGTACACCACGCCACAATAAATGATACAAATCACATGAAATTTATATAATTGGAAGTTGAGAATTAGCCAATTTTATTAGTATGATTTTAATATGATATCTGTTCACCATTTTTTTCTATAACAAGCTCACAACACTGTTTCATTGATTGTATTAAATTAATTAGAGTTGATTGTGGAATACTATCCCATTCCTCAACCATAAACTGATGCAAATCAATGAGATTTTTTGGCATTCACTTCTCCACATTACTCTTGACAATGCTCCAGAGATTTTTGATTGGGTTTAGGTCAGGACTGTTAGAAGGCCAATCTAAAACTTTGGGCATATTATCCCGGAGGAAGTTCTGAGCACAGTGGCTGGTGTGCTTTGGGTCATTATCTTGCTGAAACCGCCATTCATCTCCAAGCAATTCCTCAATCTCTGGAAGATGTCTATGAAGGATTTCCACATAAAATTCTGCATTCATAATCTCTGAAAAACAATATAAACTTGTTTTTCCTTCTATGCAGAAACCTCCCCATGCAAAGAGTTTTGTTCAATCTTTGGGCATAGGGTGTATTGGCTGTTTTCCCTTATGCCAGCACTCTATTGTGTTTTGGAAGAGTTGAAAGGCAGTCTCATCTGAAAATAATGTATGGTCCCAATCATCATTAAGATGTCTTTGAGCCCACTCTACACATTTACGCTTATGATCAATGGTTAACATTGGTGTTGCTTTTGGAAGACTTTTTCAATATCCACTATCAGCCAAATGCCTTCCTATTGTCCTATAAGATACCTTTATACTTGTCCTTGTCAACTTTGTTGATAAAGTTCTTGTTGAAATGGAGGAGTCCCTACGAATGTATTGCACTAATGCCCTTGATGCATTTGCCGTTATTTTTCTTGGTCGACCACTTCCATCTGCATGCTGAATTGATCCAGTATTCCTGAGTTTTTTGAGATTATCATATACAGTAGAAAGAGATATATTTGTTCACCTATGGATTTCCATTGCATTTCTAACTCCCTGCTTCCACAATTGTAATATAGCTTGACGGTTGGTTTCTTGCACAGATGTCATTGTTATAATTAAAAATTTCTCAAAAAAAATCCTAAGGTTATTAGTGTGAATGAAAAACATAATGACTTTTAGAGGCCTGCATTTGCCATATAATTAAACCCAGACCCAACCCGGACCCACACATCAAATCATAATTTCTAAACCCAACCCAACCCGGACCCGTATCAAATCATAATTTCTAAACCCTGACCCAACCCG